CATTTTTTATGTTTTGATTAAAACCTTTCTGATATTTCGTATTGAAAAAAAAAATGTTTATGTTTGATTAAGGTGTTTAAGGGAAAAAAATGTATTACTTACAAAATAATCAATCCTGCGGCAGATGTTTTCTTAGAAAATTTTTTTTTCTTTCGAAAATTATCTCGTCTGTCACATGTGCTTTTTTCAATAAATGAGTTTTATTTTAATATTTAAAACAAACTAGATAACTTTATTTTTATGGGGAAAGTATTTATCAAGGAATTTCGTTTTCGGTTCGGCCCGTAGGCGGTATCAAATGTAATTTTTTTTGCTGTTTTACAATTTTGTGGTTAGATATCTGATTTAAATTAAGTGGATTAAAACCACAATTTTTTCTAAAGTTTGCCTAAATAAATAACCCGAGCTAAACATTTCCGCAGGCTTCAATTTTTTTTACAAATATTATCTTTGATATACTTTATCATAAAAATAATCTTCCGAGTAATTTATTGAGTGTGGTACAGTAAGTACAGCATTGATAATCCGGCATCGTCATGACCGACTCTATGCCGGAAAATCCATTTTTCTGATTATGGGTGCTATTGGGTAAATAAAAATAAAACGGCAATTCGCAAAAATCGATATTTAGTTAATGGAACCTCGAATACTTGATAATAAAGACAGAATTTCTGAAGTATTGAAAATAAAAATACGGTATAAAGTCTGAAATCCGGATGATATGATCCGGATGATGAATATCCCGAATGATCAAATTATTACCCAACATTTTTTTTTCCAGAGGTAAAGGAAAAAAGGGATATTCTTGCAACATTACAGTGGGTAAAATTGATTTGCTTGTGACATCTGTTATACAATAATTATCAATTTAATTCTTTTTGTAGGAATCTCCTATGATAAAAGTTGTGTGAATGAAAAAAGATGTCAGTTGCTCATCGAACATTAGAATGTCCAGTATTTTCTCAACTGCTTCCAAAAAAGAAGTCAAAAAGTCAAGCTTGGGAACATTTTGGGTTACCAGCGAATGAAAGCGGACAAATCGTTTCTCAAGATATAGCAGTTTGCAAACTTTGTTGGTCCCCAGTTTCAGCAAAAAGTGGAAGTACATCTAATTTATTTGGTCATCTCAGGCTTCATCATCCATTAAAGTTTTCTGAAGTTTCTAATAAAAGTAAAGTAGTCACAGCGACAGTGCAGTATTCTCCATTTTGTGCTGCTGTTGATGAGTCAATTGATGAGCCACAACCACATTCAAACATGGCTGCATCTGAATCCAATCAATTCAACTTTGTTGGCAATCATAGGCATAAAAGACAAAAGTGTATGACTGATTTTCAACGGTTGGATGACCAAGCCTCTAAACGTACTACTGACTCAGTAACAAAATTTTTAGTGTGTACTATGCAGCCATACAACCTTGTTGATAGAAAAGAATTCATAAATATGGTGAAGGTCCTTAACCCTCGTTATAGCTTACCTGGACGAAAGCACTTTACTGCTACAGCAGTTCCAAAACTCTATAATGAAGTCAGGGACAAGATTAGGCAGGAACTATCATTAATTAAAAAAGATATAATTTCTGTAACAACTGACTGCTGGACATCTATAGCCAATACACCATACATCACTATTACAGTGCATTTTATCACATCAGAGTGAGCACTGAAATCAGCATGTCTAGCATGTGCACATTTTGATGACGATCACAATGGTAAGAACATTGCTGAAGTTTTGAGGAGTATTTTAAATGATTGGGGCATTGATGTCCAGAACATAATGTCAATCACTACTGACAATGGGCGTAACATCTTAAAATCAATTGAAGAACTCAATTTAGAGAATGCTCATATTTCTTGTTTTGCTCACAATATAAACATAGGGGTTAATCACTCTTTGGATATTCCTATATTGAAGAGAGCTATTGCACGGCTTAAAAAGTTGCAAAATGCATTTGCAATGAGTTGGAAGATGAAGAGAGATCTCCACAAAGCCCAAGAGTTACTACAAATGGAGGTAAAAACACTTCCCTCTGCTTGTCCAACTCGATGGTGGAGCACTTTAAAACTAGTGAAACGATTTTTGGAAAATCAGCTGCCAATTTGCAAAACTCTTTTAGAGTACCCAAATAAAAAGCATTTGATGCTAGAGGGAAATGAAATTTCAGCCTTAGAAGACTTCACAACAGCGACTGAGTTATTAGAGGACATAAGTTCCTTGAGCGGCGAACAATATACAACAGCGTCAGCTGTACTACCTTTATATATGAAAATAAAAAATAATCTTCAAAACAAGGATGAAGACAGTTCGCTACTTAAAAGTATCAAATCAGAAATTTTAGAGTCCCTAAATAAGTATGAATCTCATCCCATGTCATCAAATTTACAGTTATCAACTCTGTGTGATCCAAGATTCCGGCTAAACTTTATAGTCTCCCGAAGAAGTAAAGAAATTAGCTGTTGCAAAAATGAGGAACATTTATACAACACAGAAGACATCTAATCCTGATAATATTAAAACTAGGACAAAAGAACAAAACAAGAAAGGATTGGCTAAATTTTTTGATGTGTAATAATAATTTTTTGTCAAATAGTAATTCAGAAAATACAAGGAATTCTTCCCAGGAAGCTGAGAAAGAGCTCAATGAATATTTATCTATGCCAAGAGTTTCTTTTGAACATGATCCCCTCGATTGGTGGAAGGTTCACTACGAATCTTTCCCATCTCTAGAAGTTCTAGCCAGAAAATATCTGTGTATTCAGGGTTCAAGTGTGGC